AGCGTGAAAACGACCTTATTCATATTCGTGTATTAAGCCAGTTTTTCATGTTCATGATTAGAAAAAATTGTGTAACGTATTTCGAATTTCACGCATCCCTAGGGGATTAACTGGTTGCTTTATACTAAATAAATGTAAAAAAAAAATTTATTAATACATTTTAAAAAAATGTTCAACTTAAACAGCTCAGGTATCTATGAAATTTTCAGACATTATGACATTTTTTATTCAGATATAATTTTTAAACAAAAAACTGTTATTTTAACTGCAATAAATAACTTGATTTTTTTTTTAAATATATATATGTTACCGTTAAAGTATATAATGCAGTTATTTCATAGAATACCTAGTTATTCCATGAAATAACTGATCGTGTCCGTTAAAGTGTGTAATATGTTATTAATCTGACACTTTATAGTTATTCTATGAAATAACTAGGTATTCTATAAATTAACTAATGAGAGACAGTTTAAGTGTAAAATAAACAATTTATCTAAAATGAAATGACTAGGTATTCTATAAATAAACTAATGATAGACAATTAAAATGAAAAAGAAGCTATTTATCTCATTTATGCAGCGTATAAATGGTATTTATAGAAACGTACCATAAAATCATTTGTTACACAACAAGGATTACTAAAATGACACTTGGAATTACAAAGAACATTATTTCTGAAACAAAAAAAATTTTTGGTGACGCACTGGGTTTTACACGAACATTTCTTAAATCCCTGACCAGTGCGAACCGAGCGAGATATATGATATAAATTATTATACACTTTAACGGGCTGCAGATCGTTATTCTATGAAATAACTAGTTAAACCATGAAATACAAGAGAATTTTACACTTTAACGGACACGATCAGTTATTTCATGGTATTCTATAAACTATTCTATAACTAGGTATTCTATAAAATAACGGATTTCATACTTTAACGGTAACATATATAATGATGTATGAATATGTAATTTGTTTATGAAGAACTTACTTGAATAGTGTGGATATTTTCTTCTGATTCATTTGGATATGGGCTGTTTAAAAAAAAAAAAGGTGGATGCATGACGCATTTAAATTTCAAGCTCTGACAACAATTAAATTTAATTCACAGTAAAACTTTTATAGTATATTCTAGTGAAAGAAATTCGCATAAATTATTGCAAAAGTTTTCGTCATTTATCGAAAAGTTTAACACTTCTCAAAACATGGTCCTTTTTGGGGGGAGGGGGGGGGCAGAAAATAAAAGATATCAATATGTTTTGAAGTGAAATAAAACCAAAATAAAAAATAAATATTTCTCAATGCCGGTCACAGATTTTTATGAAAATATTTTGCAAGAAAGTTCTTGATGAAAAACGGCTTAAATACTTTTTTTCAAAATTTTTGGACAAAAACTACGATTGAGGATCATTTTAAAGTTTGACTCAATTTAAGAAAATTGAGTAATTACAGATGTTGGTTAGGAAAACGTAGGTTAAGAATGTCTATATTTTTTATGAGCCAGCTTTCTTAATTTCGTTGTCATTATACAAAGAAAAAAAGTCAAAAAAAGTTTCTCTGCTATAAAATAATCTTGAAATATTTTGGCTAAAAACCATTTTTTATTTTGTTTATTGACCAAGCAAAACAAAATGATAAAAATACTCTTTTGATTTTATTTATATTTAAAAACGTGACATTTAACATTATGAGGGAAAAAATTAAGATCAAGAAACTTTTTCTTCATGCTGTAAAAAAAAAATCTTGAAGTATTTTGGCTAAAAACATTTTTTATTTTTTTAAAGGCAAAAAAAAACCTTTTTTTTAATTTTAGTATGATATTTAACATTATCAGAAAAAAAAATAAGTTAGTGATGATTGTTACTGTGCTGTGAAAATATTTTAAAGTTAGCAACAAAAAAAACATTCCCCAAAAATTATTTCAATAAATTTTGTAAAACAAAATTATATAACTATCTATTTTTTAAATGAAAATATCAACATTTAAAAAAAGTGATAACTTTCTTCTTTCTAACGACACCAGAATTAAGAAAATTGGTTCATAAATTAAATTAGACTAAATTAATATATAAACACATTAAAGATCCTTTATTAAATAAAAAATATTAATTAAATAAAGACATTAAAGATATAGACATTTTAAACCTACGAGGCACCATCTGCAGTTACGGTATTTTCTTAAATTGAGACATACTTCAAAATCATCACCAAATCACAGTTTTGGTCTAAAATTTTCGAGCAAATTATTTTAGTCATATTTCATCAAGAACTTTTCTATAAAAAATTTTCATGGAAATCTGTGACATAACAGCAATGGTCGATTTCGCTTGGAATAAGCCATAAGGTGATTACAGAATACCCTATATAGACATATTCTTATATCTTATTAGATATCCATGTTCACCTTTTTTGACGTAATGCTTGATTAGATTAGAAATTTCGGTTGAATAACTTTTTCTCCATGTAATTTCAAACGTTTAATGTCATTTTGCCATATCCCAGTTGTTGAAACCTCAATTTGTGTCAATATACCCCAGTTGTAGAAACCTCAGTTTTGATCTGTTATAACATTCGAATAATGAGCGTGTATTAAAATATGCTTGCTAAAACAATTAAAGGGGGGATTTTTTTTGCAATAAAAAATTAACAAAGCAAATAAGAGAAAAACATGTCTAATAGAGGGATGGAATCGCGATGGCTCAGGGCGTTCGCCTTCCAATGAGGTGAACGGGTTCGAATTCCAGCGATGGACGGTCGATACGAGTCCGCATCCGGCTTGCACCAACCACAATGCTGACGTGAGATATCCTCAGTGGCAGACGGATCATGGGTTAGAGTCCCTTTGCCGTCAGGCTTACCGTGGGAGGTTCTCGTGGGCTTCCTCTCCATGTAACTCAAATGTGGGTTAGTTCCATCAAAAAGTCCACCAGGAAGGCAAATTTCTCCCAATACTTGATACAGATGTACCCTTATCTTCTGGATTGGGTTCAAAATTACAAGGCTACAGGGTTGAACATTAGTTGTCGTAAAACCGAAAATTGGGTCGGCTGTTCAATCACGGTTATAAAATATAAAATAATAGGAGATATTGGCGCTTCATACTTTTTACCAGGGTCCTTATCAAGCTCAGTGGCAACCGCACCCACTCTAGCACAAAAACACCCTTGATCTCATTGATGGTTGTTCAAAAGATCCCCTATTATTCAAAGAAAAGATCCCCTATTAATAAATTACAGTTTACCTCTACAGTATTTTGCCAACATGTTAAGAAAGAGACCCTAAAAACTCCTCTTTTAATCACAGTCCAAATAATTCCTACATAATACTCAACGAATTGTTTTATGCAACCATACTAATAATTAAGAAAATTTTCAGGTTTACAAACTAAAAAAAAAATTCTGAAGTTATATACAATATTTAATTCAAAAATCTGTTCGGTAAATTTTAGAGCTAGAATTAAGAGATAATTACCAAATTAGAAATAAAAGTAATAAATATTAATTTATTAAAAGTGTATTAAAAAATATTCTTTTTTCTTTAAGTGTTTTTTAAATTTATAATACCATACCATTTATTAAAATATGAAAATTATTCAGTTCTTAATAACAAATTTAAAATTTATTGAAGGTATTTATGATACTTTCTTATTGATTCATTAACATTTTCAATTAGTTATAAAAACAAAGTATTAAATGTTTAACTTGAAAAATATGCTTTTTGGCTATGTTTCATTTGATTGATTTTATTTTCATTACAATGACTTATTGTAGATGTTTCATTTTTAGAATTTATATAACTTAAACAAAACTAACAACTTATTAATAAAAAATGTATTAAATATAAATTCTTGTTATTGAAATACATTTAACTCTTCATGTACTGACGGAGCTTTTAAGTCCCACTAACATTATTTCCATATATCATTGAAATGGAACAAAATATCCCATCGGAACTTGTTTGTCCCTGTAATTTCCATTTATTGTTACTAGTTCACAACACACAAATATTTGTAGTTCCACAAGAAAATCACCTGTGGAATTATATTATATCGTTATTTTATGATTCCTCAATTCTCAGTTTTCTGTATGGATCAGTTTTGAAAGAAAGTCTTTCATACCTTCTTATTGATTCATTAGCATTTTCAATTAGTTATAAAAACAAAGTATTAAATGTTTAACTTGAAAAATTTTATGAAAATATTAAAGTGTAAAAGACATTTAATAAAACAAAAAAGTTTGACATTTTTGATAATTTGGTAAACATAGGATTAAGAAAACACTGACGTAAAGATAGCTGATTCTAACCCTTCAATCTCTTATTATCCAAATTAGTTATCGTAATTTTTATATGAAAAAATACTTAACAGTTAACATAATGGTAAAAACTAAAACATGGGAAATAAATAATAATTTCAAAAAAATAATACTTCTACTTTCCCGACAAATATTCAAAAAAGAAATAGCTTTTGTTTTAATATAAATTTCAAAATTTAAGTACAAAATTTTACAAAACACTATATAAGTTTATAAAATATAAACTTTTTATATACTTAAAATTTCAAAAAACACTATTAATAGTAGGATTTTAATGGCACTTATATTCAAAATTAAATATTTTTCATATTCAATATGTAAATTTTGAAAGTGTAATTGGGTTAACTACTTTCAGAATTATGAGTTTTGGATACTTCGGTAACACACTTTTGGGCGATTTAAAATAATATAAGGTAAATCTAGGATAGATTTAAATTCAAATTATTTTTTTTCTTCACATTCTGTTCTTAATATTCCAATAATTTTTTACTCAAAATGTGTTGAGTACTAGTATCTGGATTTAAAATATGCATATACATTTCTTGTATCTCATTTCTAATTACTTTTATTTCCATTTGAAGAAACTATGGCCATCTATCATAGAATTACCCTATTCCAAATGTTATGCCCAGAGCCTTAACTCTGGATGAGAGTCATAGGTAAAGATAATAAAGAAAATGCCAATATCTTATCAATTTTTTTTTATTAAAAATTGCTTCATCCAGTACACGAAGTGTATATTAACATGTGGCACAGACTGTCTCTTTTTGTAACACAAATGGGCAGTAAGCCAGTTTTTTTTTAGCATTTTTGTTTTCTTTAAATACTGAACAGCATACTATTAGGAAGACACATTGTGCTGAACAGTGCTCTTATTTTTGATTTATACATTACAAAAAAACAATTAAAAGCCACAAACAAATGGGAGAAGAAAAAAAAGAATTCACAAAATAATCATCAGAATGAAACAATCACATTTGGACTTGAAAAATGTTACATTGTACATAATCGATACTTAAAAAAGTAATAGAAAAAAAAAGGATGACATGTTTTTATATTAAATAAAAAGATTTTTAAATCACAAGCACCCTAAATATAAAACTTTGATAGGCTTTTCATTTTATATATTTGAAGTTATATTGTATACCCATAATAGTTATTTTTATCAGTACTGGACACACAATATAAATACATAAAAGGATTATGCTGACTATAATAACACAGAAAAGCAAAGCCACAAGGTGCAATGCCGAAATAAGAAACAAGTTATAAAAAAAATCACGTTTAATGTTAGTAAGCTTAATATAGTTGTGTTTACTAAGACCTGCACATTAAATTCTTATTGAGCATGAAGACATGACAATCCAACAATGTAAAAAGCCCTTACTATTTGCAACAACATACTTTCTTATTGTTCAGAGGCACTTTTTAGGATTTTAAAACGGAATTACTTTATGCCAGCCAGCAAATTTATTAATGAGTCGTGATTCAACATAATTGAAATAATATAGAAAATATATATATCCAGATTAAATTATAATAAAACATGCCTAAAAAAGACAAATTTGGTAAAACTAGAAAAATAATTTAAACTACAAAAAAGACATTGTTACACAACACTAAAGTATTGCATCTGCAAAAGAAATAGTTTCTCGTTCTTAAACTCATACGTTAAAAACTCAACGTCAAATCATTATCCATCTCAAGAAATCCCCGCAAACTTGCAGCCACACATCCTAAGTCAAGGATTAAGTGTTCTCAACTCCTTACTCACTAATTCTGAGAAAAAAATTAAATAAAGTGGCACTTTATATATATATATAAATCAGTCTTGGTCCTTTTCACTCAAAAACCCCTGAAACACACTTAAGATGTTCAGAATGGTAAATGCGTATAACATATGTATCAGAATACAGAATGTATCAGTATTCCACAGAACAGTGGTACATGATTAGCGCAGGGATTCGCTAATGAATTTCTGGATTACAAAAAGAGCAATGTGTTTTATATTATTTATGATGTTTCGCGGAATATAATGTTCAGAAAAGGAGAAAAGCCAAGAGTTTTTTTTTATTTGTAGATTAGGGTAAACGTCTTGATGGCGATATATTAAGGTCATCCAATCTTTATAAAAGCCTGCACTTTCGTCTAGGTTTGGGTTCTGGTGGCTCCAAGGCTGCCAATATTGCTTCATCAAAAACATTCTTCAAGCCTTTCTGTTGAAAAGGATAAATTTAAAAATTAATATTTTAAAAAAAGAAATTCTAAAATATTGACAAATTTAGAATTGAGACTATAGGAGTTTTTTATTTATTATTATTTTTAATAATTGCAATTTTATAGAAACAGAAGAAGATTCTTATTTTATTTTAGAAATAGCTGAGATTTTTTAAAAAAAATACTTTATTTAATTATAAACATTTATTTGGATAAAGGTACTTGCAATCTTTAAGAGTAGAAAAATTTTGTATAATTGGAATTTATTATTTCCTCATTCATTATTTACTTAATCAAGAGATGGCACAACCAACACCATTATCATTGATGATATAGTTCTTAAAAAAAGACAAGGTAATTTTTAAAAGATGTTATTGTTTGTTTCTTTTATAATTTTATGTTTATTAAGTCTTTTTAGAAGTAAATTTATGAGATAAGAACCACCATAACTACTAGGTTTTAAGAGCATTTGAACAAAAATATAAATAAATAAGCCTACAAAAAACCATAAAAAGCATCTCTTTTAGGGCAAGAAATAGAAACTACACTACAAGTGTGAACTTTTTGATTTATTATCGTAGATTCAACCAATTGGAGGTATGCAGGCAAGACTATATTTTCTTTTTTTTTACTTTTGACAACTTGCAAACTATAAAGTAGCTCTTTTAATATTCACTAAAATGACATTTAAAACATTTACCCATTCAACTTTTCCATTATAATATCTTTAATTATATTAATAAAATATATATAAAATTAGATTACCACCTGGAAAATGGTATTAATTTAAAATTTCTACTCTAATGGTATTAAATTAACTGATTAGATATATATGTGCCTGTTGAAAAATTATAAAAGGGCCTAAAAGGCTAAGCAGATTTTTCTTTTTTTCTTATAAATATTATTTAGCATTATTCACGTAGCAATAAATATAATGTTAGTGTATGCAAAGCTATAATGCAACAGTGATCAAGAAACAGACACAAAAAGCATGACACATTTTTATAGCATTGGAGAATTTCTTTCAGATTCTTTCTCCTAGGTTAAACTGATAAAAAGATAAACACAAATATTGCATCATTAGTGACAGATTGAGATGATAAAGGAGATGTCCTAAATCATTTTCACAATACACATATTAATAACCTATTACTAAGCAGGTTGTTTGAAAAATTGGTAGGTGAAATGTTTGACTACAATAGAAGCACAACCAAACTTAGATAGTTGGCCACTACAAATAGAAAATAGTATGAAAGCTAATAAATAGTCAGCAAAAGACTATGACCTCTCTTAATCAGGACTATTTATAAAAATTTAAGAGTCAAAAAGTACCTACAGGCCATATATAGGTTATGCCTGAGCTACATTTTTCTCAAAATTATCGGCACATGAATAGATTTGATCAAGATGCAGATGGTCCCAAAACCAAATTTCTTCTTCCCCAAAAGACGTGAGAAAAAAATGTCATTAAAAATAAAAATATATAAACATCTCAAATTTTCTATTATTTTAATCTTATAAAGAAAGCTCGAAGCGTCCTTGACAATAATTTTCCCTTTCAAACATTTGCAGTTTTAAACTTATTGAGGAAATAAAGTTAATTTACTAATTTATTTAGGATGATTTTACATCCTCTTAACTGATCTGAAGTTTGCATGACGAAAAAAAAAGTTAACACAAAATCTAAATAACATATGAACATTTGATAAAATTACACTATTTTTGATCAAACTTTCTATCAAATAATGAAATTATTTTTCGTGCCTGCATTTCTTTTCTTTACTCAAAGAAATCCAATTTTTTACAATTAATAGGTCAATGTTTAAATATATATAATACTTGGTGGAATTATGCAGAGATAAATATGAAAAAGCTTAATGTTGCTATCTGCAATGTATAAATTTTTCTTTTTAAATAGAAAATTTGAGGAATGCTTGCAATTAATAAACTTATATTAGAGACCCCAACCACAATTCAGTTTTTAGTGGTGATTATGAAAATTTTCAGCATTCTTCAAGCTCTTACAGTAGTCAGGGTGCGTAGCCAAATTACTCAACAAAAATTAAGCACCTTTCAAGCATTCAAAAAATATTTTTAAGCACTTTAAAAAAATATCCTAATTAGGCAGGATTGGAAAGTTTTTGACAATTGACCGTTTTATCTTGTTTTAACCGTCACATCAAAAAAAAAATTTAGCATTGTTTTTAACAACTGTCAAAAATCATTAAATTTTGAATCATGTACAAAACGAATGGAGTTTTCATTCCCTACAGACTGGCAATACACCGAAATAGATTGGAGTTGAATTAATTGTGAAAACGTAGATTCAAATAAGTGTAATTATGTTGTATAAAAAATATCGGAATTCAAAATACTAAGTGAAATTGAATTAAAACAGATCAGAAAACCGCTTAGATTTACCAATGTCAATCATTGTAAATTGGACACACCCCAAAGTGAAAATACAAATTCAGATGTAAAAATAGTGTATTAAAAATATTGGAATTCACAAGCATTGGAATTCCATATATTTTGGATAAATGGTTTAATAGATCACTAGCTGTTGATAAATGATCGTAAAAACCGTATGGATTTACAAAGCAACTGTCATGAATCTGGTGCACATCAAAAAGTAATAGCTTCTATTTTAATACAGATTTTGAAAAACCATAGGAACCTATCAATATCATATTCTTTCATAAAATGGGTTCTAATCCTTACAGTCCATGGTAACAATCAAAATTTGCATGAAAACTTTAAAAATTCTGTATCCGTTGGAGTCTCTGTAATATTGTCGTATAATGGTCGAGCAGATAAACACAGTTTGAAACAAAATAATCAGTCACAAATGACACATAAATAAAAAAGTTATTTATATAAATAAAAAATATAAATATTTATATGTCACATTTAAAAATTTAAACCGACTAACTAATTTTGAAATAAAACTTAAAAAAGACTTATTTTATCAACTAAAATGCAAAGAAACCTAAATAAATTTACGTGTAAATAACGAGGGTAGAGTCTTTATCCATCAATCTCCTGAAATCTTTTAGCAAATGCTTTAAATGAATAATAAAAAAAGGACTAATTTTAAAAGCTGGTATAATTTTCTCCTTATTTTTGTAAAAAATTTTTTCATTGAAGCCAAAGCAGAAACTTTATTTTTGTATTAAAATATATAAAATTTAAAAAAAGAGAAAATAGTATTCTTATTTTTACATACATAAAAATATTTATCACTATTTATTAAATATTTTACATTTAAAGTCTAATTATTGAAGAAAAATTTATTTATTATAGCGCAATAAAGGATCTTTTATATAATTACTACTAAATAAAAGAAAATTAAAATTACCTGAGTTAAGGCTGAACATTCAACATACTTGACAGCTTTCAATTCTTTAGCCAATTTTTCCCCTTGTTCATATGTGATAGGCTTCTGTTTATTTTTTGCTAATTTTTCTACTGTTATTCCATCATCTCTAAGATCAATCTGAGTACCCACTAAAAGAAACGGTGTTTTCTGGCAGTGATGAGTAATTTCTGGTACCCACTGAAACACATATTTAAAATCAATAAATGTAACACTTTAGATTACATGGATAAGAACTTTTTGGAGAAATAAAATACAAGAAATTGGCAATAAAAGTAAAACAACCTACAATTTAAAAATTCAACCTTTTAATTGGTCTTTTATTTCCAGAGAGAATATACTGAAATATTTTGGGAATTGAAATTGATATCAGAAAGAAATTCATTTAGCTTATTAGATAAATTTTAGATTTTAACTTTTTAACTTGTGTGAAATTAAGTTCATGAACAAATGGCATTGCTAGTGCTAATTCATAAAAATTGATTTTTAGAAACATGGCACAGCCTGAGAACGAAATTAACAAATGTCTACTATTTTTTATTTTTGGTTAGAATGATCTAATGCAGAAAACATTGCTGCCGTATAAGATTATTCTACGCAGTTTGATTAGATCCTTCGATGCATTCTGCATTAGATCATTCTAATTCTATACATTCTGTATTAGATCATTCTAATTCTATACATTCTGCATTAGATCATTCTACGCATTTTGCATTAGATCATTGTATGCAGATGGTTTTGCATTTCCCCCTAATTACTAGTGCGTTCTGTTTTAATATTATAAAAAACTAACTTATTTCGACACCCTGTGAAAACATGTTTCCAAAGGCAAGAATGCAGAAAACAATTAATCAAATTATCCATCCTTTTTCTCAGTAGTATTAAAAACCCTTTAATTGACAAAGATCACACTATGATTAGATTTCATTAGACCATTCTACGCATTCTACATTAGATCGTTCTATGCAGATTTTTTGGCTTTTCTTTGCAGCATAAAAACACTTTAATCTACACAAACTCAATGACTATTGAAAAAAAATACTCAAAAATGAAGAGCGCTAGTTTCTTACAGCTGAAGGATGCAGAGAGAGGGAAGATTATTGAACATGATTAAATTAGGAACATTTAATTATCACAAAAAACGGACAATATATTTTTACTCTACTTGGAGGTATATTTTAACAAGATATAAGCTTAATTAGAATAGATATAGCAGCCATTAAGTTCCAACAAATTTTTGAAAAAATCATAACTATGTAACTTTGCTGTTGTATAAGCTACATTAAGAGAATAATTTAACACCATTCAAAGCTGTTCTTGTTAATTTAAATTGAAATAAAGATAATTTTAAAAAATAACAAATTTAAAGAATTAAAATTTATTTAGTTATAAAAAAGTATATCTGTGTGCACAAAACACACAATTTATAGATAAATATTACGTTTGTTCTTATTAAAAATAAAAAATTCTTCATATTCAAATTTTACATGTTTTTCATAATGAGCAGATGGAACTGCCTGGAACTGAAAACTTAACAGCTATGAATAACTAATGAAAGTAGGAAAATTTCATTAACTATAACAATAGCATATATTTGTTTTTTTTTTCTCTTGATACGAATAAAATGAAAGCATTTTTTGAAAAGTAATTTTTCTTTTTTGTCTTCTCAAAAAAAGAAAAACACTAATTTTGTAAAAAAATTTTAAACATAAATTTCGTGACATGGTCCATCTAATAAATATCCATTAACATTTACACTCAGCATGAGATTGGCATGTTTCTTTAAATACCAATTTTAAGTGTTTTTAATCCACATCAGAGTGTCCACCAGGTCCCAAGGGAGGGGGGAGGGGAAACAATGCCCCCCTACACAAATTTTTATGACTTTTTTTGAAATTAGGGTGTCAACTAAGTCTTAAGAAAAAAATTCATACCACCTAAATTAATTTTCATGACTTTTTTTGAAACATTTAGGCCTTTTTTTTCTTCTTATACTTCTTTATTAATAAATATTTTACAATTCATGTTAATGTTGATGCATTCTACATACATTTATGATTAACCAAATTTAAAAAAAGTGGAAACTTTCTGATGGACTATTAACCAGATATACTGCTGTTTTACTGAAATGAGGATAACAAGTGCTTTTCTGAAGCATTATACATTATTCAATTAGATTTAAAGATAATACTTTTCTAAAATGTTTTAAAGTTGAGTTTTTTTTTTATATATACACTGATTTTCTACACAGGGCAATTTTCTTAATCTGTGCTACAGTCAAAGGCACTGGTGCCTCTTCTTGTAGCCTCAATCTTAAGGAATTACAATTTTTTGGCTGGATCTAGATCTTTGTATTGAGTCATCCGATCCTGTAGGACTTAACTCTTAAAATAACAGGGCAATTCAGCAATAAAAATTTCATTTAAGTACAAAAGCATTTCATTAAGTACAAAAGCAGTTCATTTTAGAATATTACATAACAGTTTTAAATAATTACCACTTTTTTAGCTTTTCTCATAATAAAGATACACTATCTGGCCATTATTGACCGGTTCCCCCTCATTTCGAATACATGAGGTGCTAGAATCAAGTCAGTAGGGCCGGTATTTCGTCGGTATTTTCCCCACCACAGGTTCCGTATTTATTCGGCCAGAATGAGTCCACCTGCCGTTCAAGGGGTGCCCAGTCATTAATGGCTAGATAGTGTACATATTACATTATAAGAATTTTCGATTTTGTTTAAAAGACTGAAGAAAAAAAACAGTGCCAATTTTTCTTTTTGTTTATCAGCTGTTATCATTTCTGATTGTGCATTGGAACTACACACAGAACATTTAGTTTCATTTAAATTAGTATTTTCATTCCCACTGTTTCTCAAATTAATCTGTACTTCAACAATTTCTGCTTCTTCAACTTAAAAGTTTGGAAAAAGTTCAATTTTTTCCACTCTGCTCTTTCTATGAGACATTTTCTGTTTGTTGGTTAGGATTTTCCATGCGGAAACTTTAAGCTTCATTTAAAAGTTTCTAGTCTTTCTCAATTAATCTAGTCTCTCAAATTAATCTGAAAATTCTAGTTTCTGCCAATATTATTCGAAGGATTCAATTTCTTAACTTGCTGAATATTTTTTAAGAGCTACTTTTTCAACTTGCTATGTTAAGAATGCATGGTAGAAAGGGTTTGTAGAGAACACCACCAGTTAGCACTTCGGATTAAAAATTTACATTCCACATGCCCTTCAATCCAGAGAACTCATCAAATATACTACAAAATAAGTATAAAAACAGGTCTGCTTAAGCCTATTTTTTAAAAAATCTGCTTGGTTATTAATTAACCTGCTTGGTTAAAAAGATATATTAAATACTGTACTGTTATGACACGCCAATTTTGAATTTGAGTGAAAACTTTTTTCAGTGCTAAATTTGCAGTGATTGCAAAAGTTTTTTTGGGAGGTTATTCAGGGTTATTTTCCTGTTATTTTTTGCTTTATTTCAAATTTTGCTGATTTTAATGTCTTACTGATAGGATAGGTGAATTTGAATTATCACCTTTTATGAACTTGATTCACGGCGATTTCATGATAAAGCCACATAGTTTTTTGGATCATTTTCTCAGACCTTTTTGTTTAGTTTTTTTTTTTTTTTTTTTTTTTTTTTTTTTTTTTAATGTTTTCGAAATCCAATATTTTCATTAAGCGAGTTTGAGTTAATAATTTTTTCAAATTTTGAAATTTTTAATATGTTATGATGACACGAATTTAAAATTTGAGTTATCACTGTCTGCCGTTCTATGTTCACAACAATTCGGTTTCGGCATAAATTCATGTCATCTGATGATCGCCATAAGGTGATTTCCAGGTAGTTTTCAAATTCAACATTATGACAGCGCACAATTTTCTTATCAGAATTGAAAACTTCTTCATACACCCCCTTGAATGGTGATAACCTTTTTGGTCGGTATTTATAGTTCTTTCCAGCCAATTCAATGTTTGAATGATCCCTACTTTAATAACTTAAAAAGATAAAAATTAATGACTTTTCATGACTATTTGTGACCAATGAATACTCTGATTCCTTGTTACTCGTTTTCACAAAATCAAACAAAGCAAAGTTTCTGATAGTTAACAAGTATTTAAAGCTTGTTAGGAACACAAAAATTCTGATATTTCATCTGCAAGCCCATTTTCTCACATCATCCATTAGTCTGGATAAAACATGGAAAATTTAAGGGCTATTTGAATGATAGTGTTAATTTTATCACAAATATGATAAATACACAAAGATATAGAACTAGGTACAGAAAAGAGTGTGAATAATTGCATATTTTGCTTTGCAGTTTAAGTGTTTGAGGTTGCATTGAGTTTTTGTAGTTTTATTTACATCCCTTTTTAAAAATAAAATTAGGTACAAACTTTAAAATTCTACTATTATAATGCATTATTATTAACTAACTCTCAAAGTATTTTACATTTTTTTTAGAAAGTTTCCTGCATTTTTAGAGTCAACCTAATACCTATAGACCTCCTAGTCAATGATTCCTATTAAACTAAAGAATTAAGTTGTTAATTTACGATTCATTATTTTAATTTCAAAACTCCTCTAAAACAAGGATCTTATACGATAAAACATAAATTGTTTCTATTTGCTAAGAATAAATAACAATCTTTGCACATTTAAATGCTTAGTCATGCACTGAAGAAAATACAACTTAGTAGATTTAGAGTAATAAAGTAACATTAGATAGCTAACAATAGCTTTCCATCATGCTACGTTTATTTCGCAATTTGAATTAAATACTACAGGCATCAACACTAAACCAGAAATTAAACAATTAAAAAATATTAGTAAAAATACCAGGTTGAATTACCTTTTCTTTAACATTTTCAAATGAAGAAGGAGAAACTACAGAGAAGCAGACAAGGAAAACATCTGTTTGAGGATAACTCAGAGGTCTCAAACGATCATAATCTTCTTGACCTGCAGTATCAAATAGACCAAGCGTGTATGGTTCCCCACCAATCATAACAGTCACTGCATAATTGTCAAATACCTAAAAAGAAAAAAATTAAATCATTGATACCTATTATTGAGAATAAGATTAAATCGAATTGTTAAAACATTGATGTAAAAAACTTTTTAGCTTACTAACTGAAAAATGAAATACAGTGGAACCTGTCTAAATTGACCACCCTCGGGACCAAGTCAAATGGTCACTATATAGAGGTGGTCACTTTATGCAGACTCTTTAAAAAGAACTCTTTAAATAAAACTTGTATAAAATGGTCACCTTACTCAGATGCTCACTTTACCCAGGTGGTCACATTTACAGGTTCCACTATTAATTGGTATTAATTAAATATTAATTTAATGAACAGCAGGCTATTATTTAAAACTTAGGTTAAAAAAAATACAAATACACAACTAACCATTTATAATTATCTACAAAAGAAAAAAAAACATAGAAACATTTTAAGCAACTGACTTTTTTGAAATTCAATTTCTCAGGAACTATTCAACCAATTTTGCTTGAAGTTTGTATTTTGCTATATAAAATAACATTCTTTAAAATGATTCAAAAAGTTCTTTAATCTTATAATTTCAAATTATTCCAACCAGTGTTAAATAAAATAAAAAAATAAATGTTTACTAAAAGTTATTATTTGCATGGAATTTTCTTTGGATAAACAAATTTTAAATCTGTGTGCAAAAATGCTTCAATTCACTTAAAAAGTTCTCGAAATATAGGGAAATGCACAAAATTAACATTAAGGGGTCCAAACTTTGAAGCTCACTTCTGAACAAACTATTGATACATATTATATATTTCCCAGATTGGAGCTACCACCTATATTTTGGGTGTCAGAAATCTGAATCTGATGGGGGGGAAAAAGGCATATTTATTCAGAAAAAGCATAATTTTGTGTCTGATTTCGTTACTTAAAAAATCATCTGCACTTATTAATAAGCATATTTGGTCACTCCTTTGAGCCATTAAGATTGAGTCTTAGAACATGAAGATCTGATAATTATATCAAGAGTTATTCCGTGTGGTCCTTTTTTTGGCACGATGAGAATATAAGTAGGGCATTTTTTTGGTACAATAACTTTACAAAATATTTTTGGAAAATAAAGCTAAAGAAAAAAATACAAGGTATGATCAAAAAGTATCCGACCTTAATTTTTATTGGTCAAACAAACGCAGCTATGGGGGCGGGGCTCGATGTGTGGTTGTGAGCATGCCTAGTGCGCATGCTCATTTTTTTCTACAGCTCCAATACAAGTCAGTCGGCGTCAGGCCATTCATGATTGAACAGGTGCAAGTGAGTGTCGTCGGATTTTATTTTTTTTTAAATGTCAGAAAAAGTCGAACAGCGTTATTGCATAAAATTTTGTTTTAATCTTGGTGATTCGCAAGTGGAAACAATTCGCAAGATTAAACAAGTGTTTGGAAATGAAGCGATGGGCACCACACAGATAAAGGAGTGGTACAACCGCTTCAAAGATGGCTGCTTATCAGTTGAAAGTGAACCACGCTCAGGGAGGCCCTCAACATCGAAAAATTATGCCATCATTGATCAAGTGAGGAATCTGGTGATGCAGAACCGCCGAATCACGATCAGAGAGCTTGTAGACGAGGTGAGTATTAGTTTTGGTTCCATTCAATCAATTTTGACTGACGACTTGGGCCTCAGGAGAGTCTCAGCAAAGATTGTACCAAAGCTGCTAACATTTGAGCAAAAAAACCTTCGCCTGGAGATCGCACAAGACATGCCGAAACTGTGAACGGTGATCCCGACTTTATGAACACAGTGATTACAGGTGACGAGTCATGGGTTTATGGATATGACCCAGAAACCAAGCGCCAGTCAACACAGTGGAAGCATCCTTCATCCCCGAGGCCCAAAAAAGCAAGGCAAGTTCGCAGCAATGTCAAGGTCATGCTAACTGCCTTTTTTGACTCCAGTGGCTTAGTACATCACGAGTACGCACCACACGGTACTACAATCACCAAGGAGTACTACCAAGAGGTTCTGCGTCGCCTTCGTGACGCAGTGAGGCGCAAGCGCCCGGATCTGTGGGCAACAGGCAGTTGGAAGCTCCATCATGATAACGCTCCCGCACATTCTTCCCATTTAATTCAGAACTTCTTGACAAAACACAGCACACCAGTGGTTCGTCAACCTCCCTACTCTCCTGACATGGCTCCCTGCGATTTTTGGCTTTTCCCAAAGCTGAAAATGCCACTAAAAGGGACCAGATTTCAGACCAGAGAAGACATTATGCAGAATGCGACAGACCATCTGAGAGCCATACCGAAGGAGGACTTCCAGCGATGCTTTCAACAGTGGCAGAAGCGTTGGGAGAAGTGTGTGGCAGCCCAAGGGGACTACTTTGAAGGGGATTTGTATTAAATAATTATATCATAATAAACGTTTATTTTATGAACAAAAGTCGGATACTTTTTGATCACACCTCATATATATTTGGTTTTACACAATTCTCGAATAAAGGAGCATATGTGTTATAAAATAATAGGAAACGAAATATACGAAAATAGTAACAATTTATTAAATTAAATTTAAAGCTCCATTTATAAAGTTAAAGAATTCAAACTAATAAATAGAAAAATTGACTCATTTTTTTAACAAGAAATTTTGTTAGAATTTTTTTAACCCAAAAATTTCCCCATGGCTGCTTGAATTTCCTCTAAAGTCTTGTTTGTGCAGTCAGAAATATTCTGCTCACCTGAATATAATTAATTAGAACAAATATTGAAAATCAATAAAAACATTTAGACAATTATTGGCAAGCACTTTTATTTTACTTAATCTAAAAAATTTTCCTAAATTGTAACACAAAAAAATTAAATTCAATATTTAGATTGATAATAAATAACAACTCTTAGTCATTAGCTGTAATAGTTATAATATGGGTCTTAAAGTATTAAGACTACCATTAGAAAAACCAATTAATAGTTTAATAATTTTGGCTACATTTTTCATATGTCATACATAATATTTAATCATAATTATAGTAATATATAATGCAAGTATTGATCATGACTTAGTATCTAATAAAATGTCTTCAACAAAAAAAAAAAAAAAAAAAAAAAGGAAACTTGCCCCATGTTTTTCACAGTTTTTTGATGTGCCATGTCACAAATCAGCTTTTGACATCAAAAGCCCAACCCTGTTTTTATCCCCTCAGTTTGTAGTAATTCTATCATAAATTCACATTGTTGTCCGATTGTGTTGGTCAGTAGTCATCAGTGTCAGATTGTATTGGTCAGTAGTTAACTGTCAAAAACATGGGGCAAGTGCCCCATGTTTTTGACAGTTTTTTGATATGTCATGTCACAAACCAGTTTTTGACATCAAAAACCCAACCCTGCTTTTAACACCTCAGTTTGTAATGATTCAATCATAAATTCACATTGTAGTCCGATTGTGTTAGTAGTTATTTTTTTTTTTTTTTTTGGCCATTCTTGTGCCAAATTTAAATATCATACCTGCCAACATTAGAAAAATAAAATAACGGAGATTTTACTTGCGACATTTTTGGGCTACATGTACGATTCTGATATCTGATGCAAAAGCATGGATGTCAAAAAGAGAAATTCGAAATTGGAAATAAAAGTACTTACATTTAGCAAAGTTGAAAATATCTACAAAAATCTTAATCTAAAAAAATTTCTAAACTATTATTTATAATTACTTAAACCATAAACACTCAACATCAAAATAATTTTCATAATTTTAAGTAATTAGCTTTATATTACAGAATTATTACATGCTCACATTTCGAACGTAAGCCAATTTGAATAAGCACAGGAAATTTTTCATCAAAGTTCTGTTCATAACAGTTACCAGGAGAAATTACTCTTCCTCAAAAGCAAGTTCACAAGCTTTCCATCAGAGAGTGATGAGTGAAGTTTGGAGCAATTTTTTTAAAACCTTAAATAAAGTTTTCTAGGGGTCTGCATTGCTCAGCAGAATGTATAGGGTACCTAACATAACATCTGCTATACTTTCGAACTGTTTTTTTTCTTTCCTTATACAATTCATTTTCTAGTTGCTTGACTACCAATAAATGATTCGGAAAAAAATAAATACTTTCCTGTTTGGACGATTGGTAAAAATACCAACACAAACAAAGTTATTGCCAGATTCCCATAGATAAATAACAAAGTTTGTTATCGGAGAAAAAAACAATTTACTGAATAAATTATTCAGAGCGGCTGTGCAAGAACTGCAACACTGTTGAGGAATAAGAGAAGTATTTTTACTATTAGCGCATAATTATTGCTAAAAAATTAATTTTTTTTTATTTCTTCAAAAAATACGGAGATGTTTAAGAACATGTGGGTAAACGGGAGATAGTCCTCAAAAACGGAGGTCTTCATTAAAAAATAGGAGACTTGGCAGCTGTGAAATATTATAAATGCAAGCTTATTAGGCAAGCAAATTTAGAATTTGAGTTATCACAATCAGAAGTTTCTGAAAAGAAAAAATTTTATGACTTAATCTAAAAAAGTCATCGCGATTTTCCTGCTCCCCTTTCAAGTCTGTGTCCTTCATAACCCGTGGACACCCTATACATCCACTGTACATTGCAGAACAATTTATGTCTAATTTACAGCTGCAAAAGAAGAAAAAATATGCATTAAGAATTTTTTCTTTTCATTATGCAGGCATATTTTTGATTTTTTTTTTTTGCAATCATTGAAAAGAATAGTTATAATTAAAATAGTGAGAGATGTTAGTTTATCGTTGATGATAGCCTCAAAACAATTTATTATAAAGCTTGTTCAAGAGCTTAAGACATAATTCCACTCTTTAGTTAGTTATAGATAAATACTGTTTTTTATTTCATAACCACTTCAATACTTGTATTTTTATCTTTAAATGTTATAAATTACAGTGTTTTAGAATAAAGCATTTTTTGACAATTGATACTTATGCTCTAACAATAAAATTAAACTTTAGATATATATGCCAAACATTCTGCTTTAAACTTTAACTGTTCTTAAACATTTTAAATGGTTAAAAATATGCTAAAAATAACAAAACTGTTGATTAAAATATGCTTATCTACATAAAGATTTTACAAATTCAACTAATATCATTATTTAACTGAGATAATAACTACAATTCCTTATCAGTAAATTATGGTTATTCTAAAAATACCAAATGAATTACTAAATATTAAATTACATATTAATAAGAGTTACAAAATAAAATCTGTAAAATAAAACCATTAAAGTAAAAAATATTCAAAAACATTTGAAGAATTTAAGTTTTTAATTTCACACAAACTTTGATATTCTTTTAAGAATTAATCTTCTTGAAGTTGGCTAAATTTTTTTGGTCATAATTATAAGAACATAAATTGATTTAAGTTTTTATAAAATATTCCACTTTACGAAAACAAAACTAAATTATATGACACATAAGTATTCCACAAACAGTGTTTTCATCGCAGAAAAAAAATGGGTGAGAATTTCTCAACCTTTCTCAAAAACAGGGTGAGATTTCAAAAAGTTAAGTGAGATTTCTAAAAATATAAAGCACAAAGAGACTTGAAAAAAAAATCATTTCGTTAATTATAATACATTTTTAACATCTTCTAATTTTTAAAGCATTGAATATTTTTGCTGCATCATCATATGCAAAATGTTCTACATCTACTTTTTCATCAGCTATTCTCATTAGGTTGCTCAAATGCGTATTTGTTTCGTTTTGATCGTTTCTACCCACATTTGTTTCATTTTCATTTGTCCGTTTCGGAGTAGAAGATATTGGCTTTACAAGGTATTTGTCCATCTTACATTAACGAGCAAAAAATTTGAACGTCTTACATGAAGAAACCTTACCTACGGTAAACACGTGGTTGCAGAGAAATGCGTTCTGAAAGAGGTTCCGTGGTTCGGAAGGATGGTGTTCTGTTGTTCTTAAAGGTTCTGAACAATACTGGTAAATAGGGAAGCTAGATAATGGGGCAGATGTTGAAAATAATAAAAGATCCAGGAAGAAAAGTGAAACGGATTTTATTCTAAATGACGCAATGAGAAATTTTTTTCAAAATGCGAGAAATTCGCGAATTTTGAAATTGGTTCATAGAATGCGCGAATTTCTCGCGGTAATCATTTTTTAATGCGAGAAAAGAAAAAAATATGCGAGATTCTCGCGCTGTAGTGAAAACACTGACAAAATACTGAAAATTTGTAATTTGTTTGAAATATGATTTCATTGTGGTACAAAAAGTAATGCTGAGAGGGTGGGGATATCCGATATTTTTAAAAGTAAATTATAGCTGAGCCAAAAAATTATGCAAATTTAAAAGCAATCTAAACAATATATTCTAGTTAACTGCCACAACTATAAACATAAGTTATAAAATGCAGATAGAAAGACAAATAGCATGTACATGCAAATTACAGGGATGTGATTGACAAAAACACAAAAAAGAGGAAGTTTATTACTGTAGCATTAAACGTGCAAAAGGAAAAATGATATGAATTCAATAGCCAATCTGATAATGATTACATTATTATCTATTCAAATAAATATAAATAAATGGTAATTATGTTCTTAAATAAAATCTTGATTAAAATAATTTTTTTTTAATAATTTAGATAACTTTGAGTAATTATGCATAAGCAGGATTTTATGTATCACATCATTTTAAAAAACATTTCTTTAATGGTCAAAGGACCTTTATGGACTTTCTCATGAGTTCTTTGTTTTTTCGATGGTCTTTTATTAACATGATTGATCTGTAGACTGCGTTTTGCAGACTTTTATTCATCAGTGTTGATAGGACAAGAAAGTTCATTTCTCACAAAATTTTTAGAGGCCTTAGATTAAGAATCGCGATGTTGGATTTCAAAATCGCGTGAGTAAGAATCGCGATGCTTGATTTTAAAATCGCGTGAAAAAGAATCGCGATGCCGGATTTTAAAATCGCGTGAATAAGGCGATATTGTATTTTAAGATCGCGATGTTGGATTTTAAGATTGTGTGAATAAGAATCGCGTTGTTGGATTTTAAAATCGCGTGAATAAGAACCACAATGTTTGATTTTAAAATCGCGTGAATAAGAATCGCGATGCTCAATTTTAAAATAGCGTGAATAAGAATCACGATACTGAATTTTAAAATCACATGAATAAGAATCACGATATTGGATTTTAAAAGCACGAAAATACAAATCGCGGTATTGAATTATTAAATCGCGTAAATACGAATCACGATGCATAATTTTTAGAGTCCGTGAATACTTATCGCAACGAGTTATGTTTAAACCGCGTATAAATACGAAAATCAATGTTTGATATTACAACCGCGTGATAACGAATCGCAATATTGAAATTTAAAAATATATATGAATAGGAATCGCGACATTGGATTTTAAACTAGCGGGAATATGAATAGCGATATTAGGTTTTAAAAACGTTTAAATACAAATCGCAATATTGGGTTTTAAAAACGCTTAAATAAAAATCGCGATATTAAATTTTTAAATTGCGTGAATGGGAATTGCGAGTAATGATTTTTAAATCGTGTAAAAACGAATCTCAACAAGTAACTTTTAAATCAGTTAAATACGAAAATCGATGATTTACGTAAAAATCATCTAAATAAGAATCGCAATTTTAGCATATTCGGTAAATCAGCCAATCAGAAGAAATCAAATATCAGCGGCTGAAACGAAACTGCTTAGGACTTTTTTTCTTTTTTCCAATCTCAGTGGTCTGTTTAGGTTTTTCTGAGAGCTACCTATTTTGTGAAAATTTAGACATAATTTGTGAAAAATTAAAAATTATATTAAAAAATCAACACAAAAATATGGATTTATCGTTTCTTAAGGGATACAAAAATTCAATTTGAAGAAAAAGTATTTTGTGGTTTTTCCTAAAGTTGAATTTGTGAAACTACCGTTTTCCCTAAAGTTGAATTTGTGAAGGTACCGCTAAACGGTAGTAAATTCGGCCTGGACAGACCCTTGAATCTGTAGCGGAAGTCGCGGTTGTCAAGGCAATGGCGTACATGCCGAAATTCTACCCATTCTCTTCCGAAGATCATTTTCTCAGGAGGCTCATGCAGGGGGGAGATCGTCGCAAGACCGACTATATCGTTCGTTCGACTCCCCAAAAGTTTTTGGAATATGGTCGGAAATTTAAAAAAGTCTTTCATCCCTGAAAAGATAAGAGAGTAGTGGAGTGGAGTAGGAGACTGCATTGTTTTACCAAGGTCAACCACTTTTACCCCAGCCAGCAGATTGACATGTGAAGAAAGGTTTATTGGGGGCTTCAATACTTTCGCTCCGCGGGAGAAAAAATTTTTCAACAAAATATCATTTACTGCATAAAAATTTTTTCCGCGCGGAAATTTATGAAAAAAGAGCGGAAGATATGGAAAAATCTGAAAAAAGCGGAAATCAGCGGATCCGCGGAAGAATCACATCCCTGAAATTAATAACCAAATAACATTTAATGTTTTCAGATTGATAACACCAACAACAATTACTAGTTTAAAGAAATAAATCTCTCTAATTTAATGATTACCATTTTTTTTAAACAAAAAAATAAAGTTTGCAATACAATTTAAAATTG